GGTCGCCACCAGCGGCAGCTTCCCCTGCGCCCGAAGAAAAACCCTAAGCTCCTCACTCTTCCCAACCACCGGATGAACCGCCAATCTCCACAAATACTTCTCCAGCTGCAGCCTCCTCTGCTCTACAAACTCGTGCTTCTGCATCATCTGGCTCTCGACCGTGTTCTTATCAGGCCGCGGCGGGACGAAGAGCCCGCGGTGAGAATCGGCCAAGCGGTCCGCTAGGGTCACGAAATCTCGAAACCGACGGCGAACTCTGAATTCAGCGAGATCACGGGTTCTTGAAGAGATCATGTAGGTCACGTAGGTGGCAGATCCAGGGACGAGGGATGTAGGAGCGATGTCGTGCTCTTTTCGCGGATCGGTGACGGAGATCTTGAGGTAGTCGGAGGATTGAGAGCGCTTTGGAGTTGAGGATGAAGGATCGTCGACGGCGTGCGAGTAGGAGGGGGGATCAATGGAGGGGATTTGGGAGTGGTGATCGGAGAGGGTTAGGGTTTCCAGGTCCTCTTTGGGCGGTGGGGGCTCGAACCCGATGTAGGTCTCGGCGCCCATCATTTGTTCGATGAAAGTTCAGAGAGAGGGCGGAGATTCGATTGAGAGAGACGGAGGCAGGAGAGGGTGGGGGGGGGGGTGAGCTGTTGAGGGGTTTACGAGGAGAGGAATGGCACGTGGCGACGGGGACGGGGCACGAGGTTCATGATCTTTCCTGGGTTTGTACTTCGTTGACGGTGCGGATTTTGGGTATCTAGGCCGGGTTTGGGCCGATTATTTGGTATACAGAGAGAGTCTTCTCGTGGGTAGTAGGTAGAAGTTTGGCAAGTCCAGTCGCGTGGCAACGTAACCCTGTTAGGATGCAGATCTACATCTACATCTATACTTCTATACTACTATGAAAAGAGAATTGGAAGGTAAAAACTTATAATTCTTTTTTTTTTTACCCTCTCAAATTTTTGATGAATTCTAACTATGTTATTATTTTTAATTAATCTAATCTAATCTAATACTTACTATTATAAAAGTGTATTGCTATGTTAAAACATTTCTTCTAAAAATGCCCTTTAAAACACATAAATGCTTACATAAAACATGCGCATCCATGCATAAACCATACATCATACATACATAACCCTCAATTAAATGCATTATTATTCATTATAACCTCAAATAATTTCTCCATGACTAAGCTTTTTATATTTTTATAACCTACAATTAACATATTAGTCTTTTATAATTCTCACTAATTATCACTATCATAATTAAAAAAAACGTTACAACCATTCATCTTCTTACTAAACCACTATAAATCTATTCTAATCATATTATTTATGATTTAACTATGGTAAAAAAAATTACAGTATCAACTATTTAACATATTAGTCTCTTATAATTCTCACTAATTATCACTATCATAATTTAAAAAAAAACGTTACAACCATTTTACTATAATATTAGTAATTATGTGATATTGTACTATCTTAATTTTTTTATAATGTATCATAGTAGCAAAATATAATTTCAAAATTTAGAATAGCATAATATATTAATTATAGTATTAATAACATAACATTTTAATAAAATATTAAGAAAATGAAAGGATGTTAATGGGCATGTAAGCTTGGCTAGCCTATTAAATTAACAGAAACGAAGAAAAGAAAGAATGTTATAGCTCTGTATTTATAATCTCTCAATTAAATGATTATGAATTTTCAATTTAGTCCAATCCATTAATCCTATTATTACTCACTAATTAATCAATGCACATTAGCTCTTCATTATCTATTCTGAATTTTCCATAGAATTTCCATCATCCCACTAACTCCTTGCCCATAACTGAACATTAATTACCAATTGATCCAAACCATGAATTGGCTCTTAATTCATAAATTTTCAGTTACAGAGTTGCTTGGGAACAATAATCACATAACATGATCGAGTCGGTTACAAAACACATGGAAATAAGAGGATATCGATCTCTATTTATATCCAATCTCACTATTTGTCAAAAAACTATTCATCATCTAACTAATCCCTATTTATTGTTCTTTGTTCCTTACAGCAATATTGAGCAGATGAACCCAAGTCATCAAGAGAAAATGTTAGTTTTGTATATATGTTCTAAGATGTTGATGAATAATTGATTAAGGTTCAAAAATTTTAAATTAGGGGAGTCAATTTTAGTTTTTGTGATTTAAAAAAGTTAAGTATTTTAATTTTTTCCATTTCATCTCATTTTAGCATTTTAAGATATCTCAAAAGTCAAAGATCCTAGATTTGAGCCCTTCAACTTCTCGAATGAATCTCAGTCCATTTCATCAGGTTTTTTGTTTACCTTAATTTCACTTACTTTGTTCACATCCTTCAATCTCCTTTTAAATTTTAATTTTCTTTTCTTCAATCACGGTAGGAAATTTTCACAAGTATAGCATACTTAAATTTTTAATGGACTCTGCTAGGTATTTTACTAAATATGTAGCATGTGTATTCCTACTGATTGTATAGCATGCTTATTCCTTGCTGCATGATGAACAAGTTGTTCATGTTGTGGAGTAACCAAAATAAGTGGAGCCACATAGGAGATCTATAAGGGTGTTTGTCCAAAACACGCTTAAAGCAGTGACTCAGGTTAGCGTGATTATTATTGCATTTGTTGATATTATTTCTCAAATAAC